TTTTTTTTTTTTTTGAGACAGAATCTCATTCTGTTGCCCTAGCTAGAGTGCCATGGCATCATACGTAGCTCACAGCATCCTCAAACTCCTGGGCTCGAGGGATCCTCTTGCCTCAGCCTCCCGAGTAGCTGGGTGCCTGCCACAATGACTGGCTAGTTTTTTATTTATAGTAGAAATGAGGTCTGGCTCTTGCTCAGGCTGATCTCAACTGATCCTCCTGCCTCAGCCTCCCAGAGTGCGAGGATTACAGGTGTGGCCACAGCCCCCAGCCTGAACTTCTTTTGAAATTAATTTAATTAATGATCTTTAAAATTTTTGCAGCACATCTAAGATCCTCTCAGGGCACACCAGTTGAAAATCACTGGCCTAAAAAGACATGCAATAAACATCGGTTCACTTAATCATCCACTGGGAACTTTAACACCCCTCACTGCACAGGAATGCCCGGAAGCTCTGCAGACACAGGGCCCAGGTCAGTTGGGGCTCAGTTTATTTTTGCACAATGCTTAGCTTGTAACAGATGCTCAGCATAAAATTTATTTAGCCATGAGTGCCATCCACAGCTGATTCAATATGGTATTGTGGTCCTCTCAGTGAAAAGTTGGTCCTCAAAACTTTTGGATAAGTTTCTGGTATAACTTTGATTCAAAAGGAAAAAAAAAAAGGTTTGACTACATCAGTTCAATTCACTTCCAAGTTTGAGAATTACCTGTATCCAAGAGAAGTTACTGTTGCCAGCTGCTAATTGTCCACATGCAGAAGCTGGGTGTTTCCGCCACTTTTTCCCCGCCTTCTCTCAATGTCCTTTGTTTCTATGATGTTTCTTCCTATGCCTCTTCATGGACAAAATGGTGTTAGAATAGGGAGGATGGGGAAGCCAGAAAGAAATATACAGATTGGGTTACTGGAAGACAGCTTCTTACCCTCTCTTCTGTTTCCCCCCACCAGGGTGGCTCTTTTGAAGGCTGGGATGACTTCAGTCCATTATTTTTGCATGATCTTCCATTTAGAGAGTTCATGGACAGATTATGTCCTTACATGGTATAATGTTCTGCTTGGCTCTTGTGAAGTTTCTACTTAGGGAATTTTCTTCCCTCCATTTGCAAATCAAAGGCCCAACACCACCATCAAAGCTTATTAGAAACAAAAGGAGCCAATGGCTTCATTAAATAGAGAAAGACATTGGCCTGTTAGCTCACAAACACCGCAGTTTACCTGTGCAGGGATTGGGGGGGTCGGGGTGTGGGGGTGGCGGGTGCTATTAGCAGGGCACCTCAGATACATGGTCTCTCAAATGGCCCCAAGAATACAACACGGTAGTGTGGTTTAACTTTCTTCCTTGGAGCTACTTCATCCCCCGCCCCAGATTGGTAGAGATTAGTGTAACTCAGGAACAGGCAGAAAACACGCAAGAAAGTGAAAGACAGATGAGTAGATGTCTGAACTGTTAAGAAGCACAGGTGAAATGTGTTGTGGAGTAAATGCTTTTAATACTGGGAAAAAGAGGCTCAGCAGTTAGAGCACCGGCCACATGCACCAGCCCTGGTGTGTTCAAACCCAGCCAAAGCCTGCTAAACAAGCAAAAACATAACTGAGTATTGTGGCAGGTGTCTATAGTCCCAGGTACTAGGGAGGCTGAGGCAAGAGACTCGCTTGGGCCCAAGAGTTTGAGGTTGCTGTGAGCTGTGATGCCAT